CAGGAGAAAGGAATGGGGAGGCAGGTGCTGGGATGCAGAGTCCAGCTTCACTCCACAGCCTGGGCAGAGTGCTGAGTATGGGCTCCTCACTCCCACCTCCTGGCCTTCAAGGCATTACTTGTTGCCCCAGACAGCCACCCTTGTGTACAGAGGTTTTGGGAGGAAGCGGCTGGACTTCATGTAGGCAGAGATCTTCTCCAAGCCCTGAGATGGGGGAAAATAAGGCCAGAGCTCAAGGTCAGCTGCCCATGAGGGCTGGCGTAACCCCACTGCAGACACAGCAGGTCAGGGCCCTGGCTACAGCCTTTCCACATGGTCTCCAGTGCTGAGGCATCACACAGCCTCTTAGGGTCCCCAGATCTGCAGAGTTAACTCTTCCAATTTCCTTGAAATAATGTCATACCATAATAACAGCTACCACTTATGAAGATTCTACACTGTGCTGGGTGGTCTATATCCAAGAGAAATTACAACATAAGCTTAGAAAATCCACTTGACTCTTCTGCAAGCTGAATCTATTATCACCATTTCTCATGTGGGAAACAGAAGTCCAGCAACTACCTCACACTCAAATAGCTAGTAAGGGGGACAGAGCTGCAATGTAGCCTGGTTCTGTCTCTCTCCAGTTCTGGCATCTTTCTGCCAAATTCCCATCCTCCCCCAAATCCCTCAGGAGGTCCTCTTGCTCTCTGACTGCACAACATTCTCCTGTTTAACAGGGAGGCTCCTGGCTTGCCTAGGTTTGCACACACAGAGGGGTCATCTGAAAATGTCCGTGCAGCCTGGAAGAGAGCCCAGATCTCACCCAAGGACCCGGCAAAACCTGGATGAAAGTGGACGAGGTGTGTTGGGCCAGCAAAAGAAAGGTCAGACCAGGCTCTAATCATTCCTTGTAAAGCAGAAAGTCTAAACCTCCCCACCTGGTACCTGAGCTAAATACTACTGTGCCCTAACCCACCTCATCCCCAACCCCACTACCACAGACCAGGCTGTATGACACTCAGGTGTGCTCTGTACGATCTTCCCAGGATCAAATGGCCGTGTAATTTCTAAGGATTCAGACAGAGCCAGGGCTGCCTATTCCCAAAGGGCCACGCCCAGGTGGACGGTATGCTGCAGCCCTCAGCTCTCCTCCCCTCCCACCACCTCTTACATAACCCCAAGGCCACTCAGCCTGGACCAGAGCCGGAGCTGATGGAAACTAGCTGAGTAACCAGATCTCTTGATGGGGAGTGGGAAAGGAAAACAAATTCTAGGCTGAAAAACTCGTTGGACTAATGCCTCAAATTCCCAAATCTGTACTAAACTAGGATTTGCTGCTCTCAAACAACTTCAGCACGGGTGAGATGGTTCCCCATGAGTGGGGGCAGGCCCTGGGCCCGGTACCCAGGTGGTGCCACACACACCTCACAGGCTGCTCTGCCTGCACTGCAGGCCTCTCACTGCACTCATTTCCAGGATGGGGCGGTCATCTATGCATCTCCCACTGTGCCTCACACCCTGCCTCATGCAGAGGAGAAGGTCGGGGAATAGGAGTAAAATCAGTGTGCTACTCATCTCACAGGGGGAACACTTAGAACATTGGAGAGAAAAAAGAGAGGAAGAAAGATAAAGAAGGACACTGCCCCAGCACAGAGCACTTCAACACACACACTCCTTCAACAGGGGCACCCACATATGTAGCCTAATCTAGCTCCAGCCACAGCTCTGGCTCTCAGGATTTTCCACATGGGGGTCCGATCGTGCAAAGCTTCTGGGGGTAGCTATGAATACTGCCTGTGGGTTTCATACTCGACATCAATGCCACCGTGTGTCAGTCCTACTATTGCCAGCTGCATCCGCACTCCTAAAGTTCTCTGCCTCTTCCAAAGCGTCCTGGGCTGTGAAATCCAGGCTGGATGAGGCCTGAGGCTTTTTTCTTCTGTCACAAAAGGGAGAGCCCTGACTGCTGCCCATAGATCCAGAGGCTCACAGGGAGCCCAGCACAGTCTCCACTGGCTCTGGGACCCTGAGCAAAGGCCTGACCCTCTCATTCTCAGTTTCCTTCTCTCTAAAATGGGCAAGATAATTCTGTCACCCTGTAGGAATGTTGTAAAGTTCAAATTCCACACAATAGGTATAATGTGCTGGGCACGGTTCCTGGCATGAAGCCAGCACTCAATAAATGCAAGTTATTCTTTGTGTAGCTCCAGGACTGGCAAAGCATCTCAAAGGAGGTAACGGAACAAGGGGCATCAAAGAGAAAGGAGGATGGGGGCATCACCTCAAATCGGGAGATGAAGTCCTTCAGATTTGGGAAGGCATCCAAGCACTTCGGCTCAAATATACGGTGGAGGTCAAGGACATCATAGGCGAGGAAATCTACAAAGGTGATCTGCAGAAGGCCAAGAATGTGTGGGCTGGAATCTCCGTAACATAGGACGTATGACAAATCTCTAGTGTCCCCATCACATGCCCCCATTACCTTGTCTCCAACAAACCATGGCCTCTTCCCCAGGAACTGTGAGAAGTGCTGCATCATTGTAGGAAGTCCCTCCAAGTATTCTGGCTTCACTTTCTCCTGAGGCAGAAAACAGCTGTCACTACCGTCAGACACAAGCTCCCTGCACAGATGTGGCCTCCCTAGTTCTGCGTATGGCCCCAGCTGGCAACGAGCAAGCAGTTGTCTTCCCCACAGCTGGAACTGGCTTCAGTTGGACATATCAGCATTTATTAGACTCCAAATGGGTAGCTGGAGGCTTTTGTGGCGATGGGAAGGCAGAGAGGAATGCAACACTATCCCTGAATCTGTCCCCACTGACCTCCCAACCACACTCCTCTGGATCAGCCCAGGAGCACCTGAGCACCTGGCAGGCTCTGGACCCAGACATGAGCAGAATCAAGGATACAAAGAACTAAAGGAGCTCAGAGAAAGAAGTTGAAAGTTCCTCCTAGTGGAGTGGCAGAATAATACAATGGACATTGAGTAGTTTCTGGAGAGATGAGATTTTGAGAGGCTGAGTGGAAGGAGACAGAGGAACAAAGGCCCTCTGGCCGCCACTGAGCTGCCTGTTAGGAAAATGCATTCATCCCTGTGCGTGTCAAGAAGAAGCACTAGGAAAAGAATAGCACGGAATTCCACAGAGGAGGGTGCTATTACTTCTCCACTACGTACTTCTTTACCCCATAGTGTGAGTCTGCGTATTCCCCAAACAGGCAGATGGAGTGAACCACCTGGGTTAGATGACCCGTGGCAGAGGTCAGGGGTCAGAGGTAAAGGGAATTCTGAATGCATGACTTTATTGTCTAGGAACTGAATTTCTAGCTTGGGATGTACAGACTTCCTATGATTGGTGGGGACTAATTTCAAGTTTTTATTTTATAGAGTTTAATGATATGTCAGTCACTCTGCTACAGTACAGGGAACCCTGAGAGAACCAAGAGCAGTGAGGAGTTCAAATTGTGAATAGGACCAGAGTAGATGGGAATACAAGAAGCCTGGCTTCTGGCCCAGACCAGGGAGGGACTCACAAAATCAGGGCTGTAGCAGACTCTGGCCAGCTGATTGGAGACGTCCATAGCCTGGTTCTCCAAAATGTCCACACGAATCTTCTCCTCTTCTGTCTC